GCAAAGACTCGTGTCCTCGTGTAAGTAAAGGACTCATGAATATTACTACATGACAAAATATATCCCTAATGGACAATTAAAGTAATACCTCATTAAGATGTAACCGACACCTTGTGAGCAACGAACTGCATCGTGGCTCTCTTCAAGGTACTCCGCCTCGAGTACTCGAGTACTCGTGAGACTGCAAAAGGATAAGAGTACTTCTCGTGCCTAGCTTCGCTACTCGCGCGTCAACTCTTATGCTCGCCGAGAGAGCTCGTAATGGTTTTAGAGATTTCTTTCTCGGAAAGAGCGTAAATTCCTCATTACGCGCGGATATAATCTCGCTTGCGGAAACTTTGAGATTCGCGACATTATTTACAACGGGGACATTTAACGAGGATCGTCTTCTCGAAAAATAAACCGCTATAGCTGTGGCAAGGACTGCATAATCTTAGGTAGATATCATTGAAAAGTGTACGATCTTCTATCCTAAATAATATCTGCTGAGCTCTTTTTATAGTCACCGGAATAATAAAATCAATCGTGTAACAAAAGAGAATTATTAAAGAGATTTAGGGAAATTTATGCAGATAACGTGAGATTCCTTACATCTTTCAAAATGACTGATAATTGAACGCAGCACTTAATGTAAGGCAACGCAATATCGGTAAAGCGAAATCGAAAAAGAGAAAATATTGATAAAACACACGAGCATGAAATTATTATGAATATATATAAGAGTAACTATCTGCTCCGTGTATTATTTTCTAAAGTTTCATAATTGAAAGTAACGCTTATAGTATTCAATATAAGCAACATGCATGGTAACCACAGAAAGAAAAAATATTAGGAAAATAATCGGAAAAATACGTAATTTCCCGCAATGAATAAGAATGCCTAAAGTAACTGCGTCCTAATAACTTCTTTATTTTCCAAAACGAAATAATTGAATAAATTGTGCGTACGTCATTTATTAATTATAACAAAATCCGAATTTTAAATGTTCGATATAAAGCAACAATTGAGGAATAAAAAGATTTTTAGAAAAATTATTAGAAAAATACACAATTGCGAAATTCTCTTTTTTGCTCTTTAATAAAAGCATATAAGGGCATTACATGCTACTCTCGCATAGAGAGAGAGAGAGAGAGAGTATGTGTCTTATTCTCCAGATGTTACTGACAGAAAATGGAAAGTTGACGAAGGTGGATCGGCCCGCGCGCCAACCGAGATCGCGAACAGTTCAACATGATAGAGTCATACATAACTCACGACATCCATAATGCATTCAAGAGATACCGGATAAAAACTGCTCTTGTTAAGGTGGCCTGTTAGGTTTAGTGTAGCGCATTCAGCTTCCTGTGCTACGACGCTCGACGAAGTTTTTTGCGAACGATAACGACAAACCGTTCGCTTTTCGGTCTCTCGATCTCGCCCCTATGCGTTCCTCTTACGATTTGTCTTTCTCGTCTTTTTTCCACGACACCAATTATCGGCACTTAGAACGGAAGCCGAAGCAGCCCGATACGCATCATTATTGTACCATTCGCGATTATTGCAGTCGCATTGCTCCGAGATGATTGTTCACTTACAGGGAACTCGGCTAATTACGGCGTCTTTTGTTAGTCTTTAATATTTTCAACAAAAAACTTTAAGCGATGCGAATTAGCTTCTAACCGCGGAAATTAATCGTATCAAAAAATGATGATATATTTTACAAAGAAATTTAAAATTGATTGTAATAATTTTTGTTACAAGTGACATTTCTGCATGTATCCTTTTCTAAACCATGTCTTTAGAATCGCGCTTTTTCCTTGCTCGGATTTGAAAAATAAAACAGAAAAAGTCTGTTAGCCAGTTTTTACTAGCCCTCCACAGCTGATAATAATCAGCGGGTTATGATACGCGGCTTCTCATAGGGTTGATAATACCGTAGCTTGTCGCTGGATGACGGCTTTCGAAAATTATAAATACGAACATCATTTATAATGTTTGTACGGCGCTTCCCGCACGCATTTATCTGGATTGCACGCGCAAGAATGAATTAACGACGCCCATCCCGTGTCCAATGATGTTCTACAAAGTATTTTGGACGATTCATCATTCCGTGGACATAATTACCCGCCTCAGTCGTTCCAACGATGTTGCTGGCCGCGCGGTCTTTCCTCGACATCTCCAAAAACCCAGCATCCGTTGACGAAAGTAATGCAGAATAGTGCATGTTGAGATGTAATTATTTTTTTAAATTTTATATAAATATTCGCGTAAATTATATACCCAAATAATAGCCCACGAAAAGCTGATATTTTTTATTAATCTTAAGGTAAATTTCAAGTTTTTAATTATAGCGTAATGTAAATAATGTTTTACATTATTTTACATTTTATTATATTATAGCTGAACTTAAAATTTATAATTCTATACATTTCTAATTAGGCTGGTTTAGCGCTAAACGCGGTGTATACATTTTGATATCTCAAGAATTTTATAATCTCAGTAATCTTTATCATTGCATTTGGTTATCCGAAAAATTTACAACGCAGAGTCGGAGGAGGACGAATCGTATTCTATTCGCCAACGGTCGTTATAGCAAAATACTTATCCGCGTGCATGTCTCAGCGATCAGGTAATTAACGGAAATTAATTAGCAGTCGAGAAGAACATATTGATCGTTTACGTGCGCGGCATGGCTAACTTTGGCGAGCGACATGAAATCGCTATGTTACCGCGTGAATGGAAGGGATATCGACGTAACGACAGATCGTCGCTTCGCGCAGATTTGCGGTATCTTCTTACGTACTTCGTTTTGTAAACTCAAACATTATGGATATTTTATGCATGGGCGCAAATGGAACAGATTGCCATATTTGTAAATTGTAAGTATTTTCGCATTTTTATAAATTTAGAACAAATTTATACATTCAAAGATTTTTATATCTCCGAGTGTTTTCTTCAAAATATTATTCATTGAAGATGATACATGAATTCATATTATATTTTATATGCATATTATAGATTATTATTTTATATCTAAATAAATAATGGCTAATTATGAGCCTGATTATTATTTTAAATATATATGTTTGACGTTAATAAAAAAATCTCTTCCTCATAACATAAATAAATAATATATTTTAATTAGAGTATTAATTGCATTAATAATTAGTTCAGCGACATAAGCAGCAATTTCTGACATCGTTTCATTAACATGAAAATGAAGTGTCACTATAAAAGGTAGTAAAATGCCATTAGCAGAATGTTTAGTAAAAGATCGCAACGTGTAATGTTGTCACGATCCATATACAATGTCCTTAAAGGAAGAAAACGGTGTGAGCAGATCCTGCTACCTTTGATCCGTCTAAATAAGTATTTAATTAGCAGAAATTAATTAGCCTCCAGGGAGAACATATTGATCGGTTACGTGCGTAAACCCGCCTGCCTCCCCCGGGCAACACACGCGAAACGAGGAACGAGCGGTGCAAACGAGAATGGAAGACGTAATACCGGTGTCTCGACTGATCCGGTCGACAATGCCGGCGGCCCGTGCCTTTTTTGTACACGACCGATCGTTAATTAGCGCACGGAATCCACGCGTGCCCTCCTCGCCGTCGCGAAATCGTCATCGTTCCCGTCGAGCTGGATGTCGAAAACACTTTTTCACTGTGCCAACCTGCAGCCGTACAAAATCAAGCGATGTAACCGCGCATCTGGCTGACGTAGGTTCGCTTCGACGAGATATCAATTACTCTTACTCTTATAATATGAGTTGCTTATTTAGAATGCGTCACAGAATAGAATTATGGGGAAATAATATTTCTAATTGCAGAACACACGCGCGCATTAGAAGGATTTATCGGCAACTGTAATTCTTAACATAGTCAATACTTCGTTTGCTCAATTGTGCATGGTCTTTAAAATATACGTGTCATATTGAATATCAATCATTGCAGTCTAATATAAAAATATTGATAGCGCAACAATATATTGTAAGCTCTTATTATATTCACTTTATAGATAATACATTATTTTTTTCGCCATACTTTATTAAATAAATCTTAGGTGGTGGACATTTTAAAATAAATAAAATAAATTTATAAATGAAATAAATTTATAAATGAAATGAGAGAAAATGCGAACTTTTTGCTGTCGATATATAATAATTACATTATCGTGGAAAGGTAGCAAGATTTTATGCAGTATCAGCTAATTGCACACGCGTCATAAACGACGACGGTCGATGATAATAATGCGTGCCGGATGCATGAGACCGGGATGATTGGTCGTTGATAATTAGATACCGTTTGCTTTGAACATTCGTTTTTTATGATTTAATTTGCACCCGCGTCGCGGCCGTGAGATCGTAATCGCTTCATCGCGCAAAACCTATGAAAACGCATTTTACCTAATCATCGTCGTATACTCGTAAATTAACAACTAACGTTGCACATTCAGCGTTCATTATCACTCGAAGAGTGTACGAAGATGGTGGACTGACATTTTTATAGCAAACGAATACAAATATCCACGGATGTCGTTATTATCATCTCTCTCTCTCTCTCTCCCTAATGATGCAGAAATAGCGAAGTAATGCGGCAGAGTAATGTTATTTTAATCTATCTCTTCTTGCATGTTTTCACACCGGCTCAAATCAACTCAAAACGGACGAGATTCAAACCATGATATTGAGTAATATTGATATTCTCATAAAAATTTTACATCTTGCATCGGAAATATTCCTCGACTAAATAGACTAAATAATAACATCCGCTTTTATATATTCTATTTTTATAAAGTAAATTAAAGTCTACTCCCGCTTAATTGAGAAATATTTCGTTTTATATTATTAAACATAGATTTTTACTTTATCGTATGATAGATTTTTGTTACATCTTTATATTTGAATGTCAAATCTTTTCTCCACGCATATTTTTCCATTTGATGACATGATAAGTAAATTATCTGCATAAAAATAGAAAGTCTAATCCTATTTAAACACGTCTTTTTTTTTTGGTTTTCAGGGGACTTAAGATTGCCGGGACCTGGACCAGGCCCGGTCAGATGCACTCTTAGAAAGCACAAGCCAAACCGAAAGCCAAGAACGCCGTTCACGACGCAGCAGCTGTTATCGCTCGAGAAAAAGTTTCGCGAGAAACAGTACCTGACGATAGCCGAAAGAGCAGAGTTCTCGTCGTCCCTCCATCTTACGGAAACACAGGTGAGACATGAAAGCAATTAATTATTTCCGAATTGAAGAAGTCTTATTTTATGCATAATAATATTTCAGAGAAATATGTTTAGGGTGTGCGCCAGGAGAAAGATTAACAATCGTAACTTTTATGCGGGTTTATTTGACACTAAAAGTGCCGCGAGTTCTAAATTAGCTTAGAACAATCAATTATATATAATTATATAGAACGTGGATTAAGTTATTTATACCGAGAATAATATATATTTATTAAAATCAATCGTTAAACTGCGTATCTTCGGCGCGTGTAAATAAACATAATATATTTGAATTTATAATGTGTTATGAGACAGTTCGTACACATTTCTTGAAGATAAACATTCTGTAATACCGAGATTTATTATAATCCACAAAATATGATGAGTATATTACCTCTATTTCACCTACTGATTATTTTCAATGTTATTGTCAGGCAAAACATAACACACGCGGACAATACATGATCCTCCCGTAATGTTCTTATAAAACGAAAAACTAGCGAGCCGCAGAATTTCTCGCACTTCGAATCCACTTGTACCGTTCACTAGCTCGAATAAACACTCAGTTAAAACCTATAACTTGCTTATTCGTAGTTTCCTCGACAGCATCCTATCTCCGAATATATTTATTATATATATAACTATTA